AGAGCCTTTTCTTGTTCTGGGCCCCACTCAAAATTGGAGGCTTTTCGTGTCACTTGATAAATAGGTCGAAGTAGAACACCCAAGTGAGGGATATGTTGCCTCCAAAATCCGAAGAGGCCCACTAGGCGTTGAGCCTCTTTTTTAGTCATTGGGGGCGCTAAATGCAATAGCTTATCCTTCACTTTAGTAGGAATATCTCGAATATTTCAAACACCTAGTCCACAGAGCCACCAGAGCTCCTCAGTAGGGCCCCTACCACTAACCACTACCACCCCTCACTGCCAGGAGTCCATGCTGACTCTCAGGGACCTCACAGGATGGAGGAGAATCACCACTGTGAGTTCCCGCAGCTGTAAATCGTGAAAAGCCTCATCTTTCTCCAGTGAAGCACCTGTGGGATTCTAACTATTGACCTGTGGTTACCAGCCCAGCAAGTAAACCACCTAAAAAAAACTGAGCGGGGTCAGGGAGAACTCTGAATGGCAAACTGCAGCTGGCCTTTATTCCCTAGGAACAAAGAATTCTCTTGTATTTTAGGGGGTGGGGAACATCCATCTTATTGTACTTGTATAAAAGAGCAGAAGGAGAGGAGACCAAAGTCTGTGGATGAGAACAAAATTCTGGAATTAGTCTAACTTCCTGGTTCTACAGAGGGAAGAGGCTAAACTAAAAGCTCAACAGCATACACACAGTTAGTGGCTGAACTAAGGCCGCAGAAATATAGAAAGAGGAAGGGAGACAGCTTCTCGAGAAACCACCACTAAACCCATTTTTCTACCACCACTCCTCTCAAGCACAATGAGGGAAAGGCGCTGGCAGCGGCAGCACTATCAGCAGCAGGCTGCCCACCTGCAGTACTCTCCCATTTCATGTCTGCTCTGGCCCTCAACGCTCATTGGTGGCTCTTCCCAACCCACCTAGGGGCATCCTCACAGGGCACCTGATCTCTCCTCACAGGCTTCAGGTAACACCACACCTTGCTGCCTGGCCCATTCAAAACACCGACTGGAATGGGTTTCCCCGGGAGCTACACTGTTTAGACCTCCAAAAATCCAAACCAAAATCACTGCCGTGGACCCTGTACTGACTCACTTCGACCCTAGAGGACAGTGGAGAACTGTCCCTGTGGGATTCCGAGACTGCAATTCTTTAAGGGGTAGAAAGCCCCTGTCTTTCTCCCAAGGTGCAGGTTCAGAACCACTGGCCTTGTGGATGGCAGTCAAACTCGTAACCGCTACACCACCAGCGCTCCTCTGCTTCCAGCTACGGTTTTGAAACCAGTAGCCTTAAAGTCCACTCCAACTCACGGCGGCGGCGACCCCATCTATTTCAGAATTGAACTGTGCTCCACAGGGTTTCCAATGGCTAATTTTTTGGACCTCGGTCGCCAGACCTTTCTTCTGAGGTGCCTCTGAGTGGGCTCCAGCCTCTAACCTTAAAGCTACCAGGTGAACGCACTAACCGTTGGCACCACCCAGAGCTTCCACGGAAAACAGTGACCCCTCCCAAAATTCAACACGGAATTTTATCTCTTGATTCGATGAGGCTCCCAAATAGAGAAGACCGTACAGAATTGCACCAGGTGTCGAAAAGACCACTGGAATGCGAAGTCACGGGGGTTCACACATCCTAAGTCCTCCTTAGCCGTCGGTCCCAAGGGGATCGTGGATGCACGTCGTACAGACCAGGCACAAGGCCGTTCAAGTAGGTGGTGAGGGCCGCTCCTTACCGCCCACCCCCACCGCCGACCCTGAGGGGCGTAGAGGAGGGGCGGAGCGTCACACGGAGGAAGTGGGGTGCCTCGGGGAGAAGCGCCATGGCTCAGGAATGAAGTGGGAAAACGGATTCCAAAGAGGATACGGCGCCAGCCCCGGGGGGTAAGGGGGCAGAGGGACTGGGGCGTTGACCGGAGGGCGCAGGGGCACGAGCCAGGGCAGCGGAGCCCGCCGAGGCCCCTGCGGGCCTCCCTCGACTGCGACAGGGCCCGGGGAGGTGAGGGACGCACAGGGGGCGTCACGCGCTGGCGGACGACGGAGGTGCGCCGGGAGGGGCGGGAGGGGCAGGCGCTCTCACCTTCTTCACGGCGGGTTGGAAGTGGAAGTCGCCAGCCTCTTTCAGGTCCAGCCAGATCATGGGCATTCGGGGAACGGCCTCCATGGCGGCCACTGCCCGCCGGGGCCCCGGCCGCTCCCCTTGCTGCCTCGGCTGCTGGCTCAGCCGCGCGCCCCACCCCGCCCCTCCACGCCGGAAGTACCTCGTCACGAGGGGACGGAAAAGTCCCCCGGGGCCTGCTGGGAGATGTAGTCCTGGTCCCACCCGCGCAGCCTTTTGCGCATGTGCACTCGCCTCTGCGCATGCTCACTCTCCTTCCCGTGGAGGGCTGAAAAGGGACCTCCTACGCGAGGCGTTAAGAGTTTTGGAGAATAGTAGTCTTTCTCCTCCACTAGGCTGCGCGGCCAAGCGCATGCTCTTTCCTTTTTCCGGGAGACAAACCGACTCAGCGTCATTCCTTCCTCAGGGGACGGGCACTAGGGCCCTCTGTCAATGCCGTACCCCGAGGTGCTAGGGCTGTGGGGAACGGGACTGGTTTCCCAGAACGCGAAAGGAGGTCACCGAGGGGCGCCGAGCCTGGAAGCAGAGCGAGCAGTCTCTGCTTGGGGTCATTCCAAAGGAAGGTTCTCGACATTGGCCAGTCACTGCTTAATAGAAAAGGGAGTGTCCACTCGTGATGATGGAGAAAGAGCGCCTGTGAATTGTGTGTAAAGGGGACAAGGGAGGCTCAGCAATACGGGTAGCTGTCGGGGGAATGAATATCCACACGAGCGTGCATGCTTAGGCATTTCCCCCCGCTCCCCACTCCCCCCTCCTCCATGAACCCTTGATAATTTATAAATTATT